GCCAGAAACGCCTCTGGTTTGGGCCGATGTGAACCTCAGTGGTTCTCTCGAGCCCGAGACCCTCACGTCCTCAGCGTGGCTGTGCTTCGTGGTCACGGGGCTGCCAGGTCTTCCTGGCAGCTGTGCAGAGGGGCAGGGGCTGGTGGGGGATGGGGGGCAGGAAACGGGCTGGTGGGGCACGGGGGCTGGGCTGGTGGGGGACAGTGTGCAAGGGTGGGGGGGTGGGAGCAGGGGCTGGCGGGGGACGGGGGTGGGGGGATGGGGTCGGGGACTGGCGGGGACCAGGGGACAGGGGCTAACAGGGGACGGGGTGGGGCAGGGGCTGATGGGGGACAAGGGGGCCTGCTGCTGCGGGGCTTCCTGGTCAAGGTTGCAGGTCTTTTCTGAAATGGGAGTGGGTTTGCTCGTGGAGCCCGGGCTGGGGCCTTGGCCACGCCAGCCTTTGTCCAGAGGCACAGAAGACAGTGGTCACACCTTAGGGGCTCAGGTTGGCAGGCGGGGAGCCCCAGAACCCTAAAACACCCCAAAGGGCAACCCCAGTGGCTCAGCGGTTTAGCGCCGCCTTCAGCCCAGGGAGTGATCCTGGAGACTCGGGATCGAGCCCCACGTCGGGCTCCCTGTATGGAGCCTGCTTCTCCCTCTGTCTCTGTCTCTGTCTCTCTCTCTCTCTCTCTCATAAATAAATAAAATTTAAATAAAATAAATCAAACACCCCAAATCCAGGGGCTGCGGCAGAGGCGGAGAAGGAAGGCGAGGTTTGGAACAAGGTCGTGGGGGCTGAGAGGAAGGTTGTCTACATTCAGATTTGCTCACAGAGGCGCGAGGTTTCAGAGCTCTTGAGGGGCAGAAGGTGGGCAGCAGCTCTGCGGCCACGTGTGGAGTTCGTGGAGCCCTGGGGCACGCAGCCCGGGGGCCCCAGGCCTCCTCCTGGGGGCAGGGCAGGCCCCGGTAGGTTGGGGGGGTGAGGAGAAGAGGGCCCCAGGGTGGAGTGAGGACCGACCTGCTGGGCTGCAGCGGAGCCCGGGCGCTGCTGGCCCCAGACTGGGGCTCTGTGGGGTGGGGGGCAGTGCTGGGAGGGGGGGCTGGGCTCGTGGGGGGTGGGCAGCCAGCGTGGGCGGAGGTGGTGCTCCCTCTCCTGCCACGAGGCTCTTCTTCCACTCGCGTTCCTCCGCCCAGCAGCATTTCTTCCTCTTTTTTTTTTTTAAAGTGTCTGGTGACCGACCATGTGCTGCGCTGGTCGATGTGACCAAGGGGTGGGGTGGGGGAGGCCGAGTCCTGCGCGTGTGCCCGTTTCCGTGGTGACCACACTGCGCCGTGGGTGGAAGAGGTGGGCGCGGTGGCCTCTGGTGTGGGATTCGGCCATAGGCCCCTCGCTCGGAGCCGCTCGTGGTGAAATGCAGGGAAGTGTGGGGGCGGGAGGCTAGGGGAGTTGTTCTGTGTTGTTCTGTGTTTTCATCTTACTTCGCTAAGTTCCCGTGAGACGGGCTGGCACGACCGCCGGTGGGGCAGGTGCCCCGGGCCACACGCCTGCTTCTGCAGCCCCTGAACTGAGGGTGGACCCCCCCCGGGTGGTGTCCCTGGTGCCCAGACCGTGGTCGGGGAAGGTGACCCCTCCGCGGTGGTGCCCACACTCACGGCGGGTGCACGGGGTGAGCAGGCCCCTCGGGTGAGCGCTCCAAGGCTCCCTGCAGGCCCCGGGGACTCCCACCCCCAGGGTGCATGACCCGGGACTGTCCCCCACCCCATGCGGGGCAGCTTGTCCATCCGTGGGGTCCAGAGTGCTCGGGGCCCTGTTCCCAAGGACCGAGACTCCTGAGGCCTCTGCAGAGACGGGACCTGGTGCGTGTGCCTGAGGAGAACCCAGGTGCCTGTGGAGTGCGTGCAGGACGCTGCACCAGCCACTGGACACAGCCTGTCGCTGGTCCCCCTGGGGACAGGAGGATGAGGGGCGGGCAGCAGGGTCCATTCCCCCAAGGGTTTGCTGGGTGCTAGCCAGTTGCCAGGGTCCCCGCTCCCCGGAAACTCTGGGTCACCCCTTGCTTTTATGGCAGGCCTAGGTCGGTACCCGTGTGTGCCAGCCGTGGGACCCCGGAGCCGATCCTTGCTCTGGAGGAAATCCTGTTCCTGGAAAAGCCAAGTGAGCCGCGAGGGCTTCAGGAAGGCTCAGGGGTGGGTGCAGGGGGGTGGGGGGTGCAGCCCACTGGACGGGGCAGGACCGAGCTCCTGGCGCCTGCACGCTGGGCCCGCGCCTGCGCAGTGGGGCGCCCGCGGTGGTGCATGCCCTGCACGCGGCCCGTGCACTGAGTAATTAGCCCGGGGGTGCGGGGCGGGGGGTGGGTGGTGGCCTCTGCTGCTGTCGTTCAGAAGCGAGAAATGGGGACTTCGTTCCTGGATCAGCTCGCCAGCTTCAAAGGATTAGTTATCTACACATCCAGGGGCGGCGGGGTCGGCTTGTTGGCGGGTTTCCGGGATTCGTGTCGTGGTTTCTTCGGACTTGATTAGGATCCCAGGGGATTTGAAGCAGCGCAGGCCGAGTCTGGGGACGCGGGGCTGGCTCAGGCAGGCGGATTTGCGAAGGGCCACTTCCAACCGTTGAGTTCAGTAAGACGGGCGAATTTTGTTTTATTTCTCCAAGTGCCGATAATCCCCGCTTAAATATTTTGGAGAGGGTTGTTAGGTAGGATCGCAAGTGTGTAACTCAGGGAACCTCACAGAGGGCGAGCTCGCCTGTGGGACCCCCCCCAGCCCTGCACCCCCCGGGCAGCCCAGTGGGAGCAGCACCCAGCGCCCGGGCAGCTCCTCCTGACCGTGGGGGTCGTGCTGCGTGTGTCTGAGCGTGGGGAGCCCTGGGGGTGGTGGGTGGTGTTGGGGTGAGTCAGGGAAGAGGCCGGGTGGTCCCTGGTGTGCGGGCGCGTGAGGACAAGGACGCCCGGGCCGGGCCACCCGCTCTCCCCGCGTCTCCCACACGCCCAGCAGTCCTTGTCCTTCTGTCTGTCCCCCCTCCTGCTCTCTCCCTCCCCAGCACATTTCTCAGACCCCCGCCCACCCCCTCTTGGGACCTGAGGATTTAACGTCCCTGTGCCTGGGTATCAGTGCGTCCCCCCTAAAGTTTGTTGCAGTCTCCCCGCCGCTGGGTCCCCTGTCCTGTCTGCAGCCATAAAAGGCTCCTTGTTCCTTCCCGTTTTCCTGAGGTTGGGGAGGGAGAGAGTCCGAAGGTCCGTGGGCCATGTGGAGCCTGAGGGCGCTCGGTTTACGGGGTGGAGGCGCTGAGGCCCTGGTTGCCCTCGTCCCACTGGGGTCGCATCCACTCCTCCATCAGCAGCGGGGCTCATGGGGCTCCAGCTTCCCACCCCCCGCGGGGCCGCGGTCCCGGTGCTGGTGTGGGTGCCTCCTGGGGGCCCACCACGTGCATGTGGCCTGTGTGGTTGGGGTCTCCCCGCAGCCTGTGGGCGGCCTCAGCCGTCGCCGAGGACGGAGCCCCGGCAGGAAGAGGGGAGACACCGTGCCTGCTGGGGTGGGCTGGGGGCCAGGGCTGGGGCGGGGCGCCAGTGGGACGCACACAGGACAGGCATGGGGGGTCATGAGCATGGGCTCTGTGCCTGTGTGTCCTAAAGAACAGGCTCGTGTCCTCCTGGAGCCCCAATCGTCACGGAGCGCAGCGGTGGCCCACCTGCCACCCGCTGCAGTTGTCACCCGCCAGGTTGACGGCAGGGGAGATGGGGATGACATAGCTGGGAGTGCCGAGGACAGGGGACAAGGGGCCCCTTCCAGGCTGACAGGCGGCCCCTCCGAGGTCTCATGCAGGCGGTGCTGGCAGGTGGTGTGGGCCCAGCGCCAACCCCAGAGGGAGCCGTGTGCGGGGACGGAGGGGTCAAGGGGGGCTGTGCTCTAGGGAAGGGGGACACGAGGGTCTGAGAGGCCATGTGTGTGGCCTGAAGCAGACAGATGGGGAGGGACCCAGCAGGTGCCCCGAGAGCTCTCAAGGGGACCATGTAGCAGGGCCAGGGTCCTGGGTCGGCCTGCAGTGATGCCAACTGGGGCCAGCCCGGAAGGTCAGGGGGACGAGGCCAGTGGGTCTGGCAGGGTCCCAGGGTCAGCATGGGACACAGGGGCTGAGGGCCGGGCCGGGAGGGTCCTGATGCCCACCGAGACCTCTGACGGCCCAGGGTTGTGGGGAGGGCCCCACGGAGAACAGGGCTCGTCCCCCGGAGGGCTCTGCAGCGTCCCGTTTGTCACGTTGCCTGAGTGACTCCGTACCTACCTGTTAAACATGGAGCAACGGGAAAGATGAGCTAAAGGAAAGACTGGCCTGGGATCTGCCATTCTGCGGGCACGCCGCTGTCCACATGGGCTTGTGGGGACGTCTGGCCATCGTGGACGCGGCCTTTCTTCCCCTTCACTGAAAAAGGAGCTCTTAATTTTTTTTTTCTCTCCGTCCCCACCAAAGAGTTCCTACTTCTTATAAACTTCATTTCTAACTCCGTGGCCTGGCCCCAGCTCCTGTGCGCAGGCACCTGTCCCTGTGCTGTGAGCAGCAGGCCCAGCTGGCCACACGACCCCAGGCTGGCCGGGGCTGACGCCGCAGCGGGGGCGCGAGAGCCAGGCTCCCGGGGACGGGGCGGCCGGCTGTGCCACCAGCGGGGAGCCCTGGGCCCTGCCCCCCAGAAGGGCGGTGGCCTCGCACCCACACTCCCGGAACAAAGACGGCCTCAGTCCTCTCTCCGCGTCTGAACAGATGGGCGCCTCGCTGTCTTGCACTTTCAAATATTTTCACTTGGCAGGACTTGCAGCGTGAAATCGGGGCGTTGCCGCGGGTGGGGCCGTGGCTCCGAGGCTCAGCCCTGCAGGCTGGCTGCTCCCCGACGGACCTTGCGAGCGCCGCCCCTCAGAGGCCACACGCGGCACCGATGCGCGGCCGTGACCCCGAGTCGGGGAGGGAGAGCCGCTCGCCTGCCCCCGGGTCCTGGCTCTCTTTCACCCGCTCCTTCTCTGTCTTGCAGGTTTTGGGATTTGAGATCGACGCGCTGAACTCTGTCCAGTTTTCCAACCACACAGGTAAGGCCTCGGCGGGGAGCTGGGCGTGGGCCCGAGGAGCGACCTTGGGCCATCTGGGGGCCCTGCAGAGGCCGCCCGGCACGTGAGGGGCGGCCTGACCTCGGGTGTGGACGGCGCGTCTGGATCTCGGCCCGGCTGCTTGGCCGAGTGACCCCGGGGCAGGCTGGCGAGCGTCCCGGCTCCGCAGGCTCCTCTGCCGCAGGGACGGGCTCTGGCCCCTGCGGCGGGGCCGTACCCTCTTCCGAGGGAGCCCCGATCCCGCAGGATCCTGACTCCCCGTGTCAAAACCCAGCGCCTCGGGAACTCACGCGGTGCCTCTGTCTCCACGCAGGGGACCCGGGGACTTCTGTGCCCACAGGCTTTGAAACAATTGCTAAGTCAAGGGCACGAGAGGGACGCTGCCCTGGAAGGACCTCGGGGTGTCCAGACACGCTTCCCGAGCCCGCTGCCCTCGCCGCCCGACCCCGGGCCTCGGGAGGCGCCCTGCCCTGGGACCCCATGCTGCCATAGAGCCTGGGGAGCGAGGCCCCTCCCTTCCTGGAAACGTCCCCACATCACCTCTTCTGAGGTGACTGCACGCAGACAGAACCCAGGAGCACAGAGTGTCCCGGAGCTGGCCTGGCAGGGCACCCACAGGGGGCAGTGGGTGCTGGGCTCAGCCCACGGGCTTGGGAGAGGTAGCCCGCAATCCTCTTGGTGCGGCTTTTCTTGGAAGGGCCGGGGTATCGTGAGTCACGGATGGAGGGGAAGAGTGACACTTGGGGTTCAGAGGAAAAGCCTCCAGTTCTCAGCGAAAGCCTGTCCCCGCCGTGGCTGTGACATTTCGAGAAGCCCCAGGAAGCTTAAGTGGATTCAGTGAACTCACCTGAATCATCCCGCGTGTTCTGTTACGTGTCTTAACCACCTTCCTGTTTGTTTAAATGAGCCCGACTGGCTCGGCCACTGAGCGTTGGAACCGTGTTGGCTGCTGAGTGTCCCGTTGTGTCGTAACCAACGTGAGGCCAGCGGAGCAGCGACCCAGCTCAGCAGCTCCTGCTGCCCAGGGCGCAGGTTCCGGGATAAGGGGAGGGGGCTTCTGGGGGCTTCAGTGGCGGCTGGCTGCCTCCTGGGCTCCCACAGAACCTCCGCAGGTGCTGGCCTGGCCGTCTCGAGGGGTCCAAGCCCCAAGGGCGCCTCTGGCCTGCCCGGGAGGGGTGGGTGGAGGCCAGGTCCCCGAGGCCTCCCTGGGGGGGGGGTGTCATTAGGGCCAGAATGCAGCAGTGAGGCCGGGGGCTGACTTCCAGCGTGGCCGGCTCGTGTGGTTCCTGGCGGGGCCCCGACCCAGCCTCCAGATGCCGCGGGTGCCTGCCTGGTGAGGGGAGCACCCCACCCGTGGGCTCGGCGGAGCTGTCTGTGCAGCCTGACCACGAGTCTCCTGGGCTCAGTCCTGGGCTTTGGGCTCAGAAGAGCTTAGGGTGTTTTTTTTGTTGTTGTTTTTGTTTTTTTTTTTAAAGAGAAAGACAAAAAGTATGTGTAGAGTTGGGGGGCAGAGGGAGAAGACAGAGAATCCTTTTTTTTTTTTTTTAAAGATTTTATTTATTTATTTGAGAGAGAGCACGAGTAGGGAGAGGGGCAGAGGGAGAAGCAGATGCCTCGCTGAGCAGGGATCCCAGTGCAGGACTCCATCCCACGACCTGAGCCAAAGGCGGATGCTTCACTGACTGACCCCCCCCCAGGTGCCCCCAGTCTTACCCTTTTATTCTATTCATATTTTTAAAGGTATTTTATTTCTGTATTTGAGAGTGAGCGGGAGGGAGAGAGAGTCCTCAAGCAGACCCCCTGCTGAGCACGGAGCCCGACGTGGGGCGCGATCCGATGACCCCGAGATTGTGACCTGAGCCAAAACCAAAAGTCGATGCTTAACCAACTGAGCCACCCGGGCACCCCGTTACCTCTTTTTTAAAAGAGCTGGAAGCAAGAAGCACTCACTGCGGGTCCCTATCAAGGCCTGCGTGTCCGGGGACAATGATGTGGCTCCCGCCGCCTGGCCAAGGCCTCACTGTTGGCCGTTTCCCCCACGTGGTCCTGCTGCGTACTCAGCCCTCGGCTCACAGCACACGTGACGGGCCAGGACGTTCCAGCCACGCGCCGTCTGTGCCCTGCTCAACAGGTGGCCGCGTGGACCGAGTGTGGGGACCCCCCGAGCAACGCCCGATCGCTGCAGGGGCTTCTGAACGCAGCCACCCAGATCACTGGTTTCCTGGGGCCGTGACCATGGGGCACATCCGGCAGCTCTGTTCCCACGGACACGGCCCCACTAGCAGTAATCCACCTCTTTAGGGTCAGGAAGCTCTTCTTTTCTTTAACAATGTCTCTGCGATGGCGTTTATGTGCCTCGGGGCTGTTGCACCTGGTGGAGTGTGTAGTTTGGTGGCTGCGGGTTCACTCCCAGAGCGCACGTGTTCACCGCTCCCGTGGAAGCTGTACCACGTGACTCCCTGCGCCTCACCGTCGCCGTCCTCCTGGCCCCTGGCCCCGCGTCTGCTCTGTCCCCGTGGACTTGCCTGTTCTGGAGATTGCACAGAAGCAGAATCACAATAGGTGACCTTAAGAGACGGCTGCCACTGAGCCCGGCGTTTCCTTGCTCATCCGTGTTGTAGCCAGTGCTCCTGTCCTGTTCACGGCCAAGGAATGCTCCACTGCAGTATGGACGGACCACATTTTGCTCCGTGTCTGCTTGGTGATGGACACGGGTTTATGAATTGTGGCTGTTCAGCACGCTGCTGCTGGGGGCGCCTGGGTCTCCTCCTTGATCTCTCAGCGTCGTGAGATCAAGCCCCCACGTCGGGTCTGCTTGCAACTCTCTCTGCCCCCCACATAGGTTTTTGTTTTTTTTTTTTTTAGATTTTATTTATTTATTTATTCATGAGAGACACACAAAGAGAGGCAGAGGGAGAAGCAGGCTCCACGCAGGAAGCCCGATGTGGGACTCGATTCCAGGTCTCCAGGATCAGGCCCTGGGCTGAAGGCGGCGCTAAACCGCTGAGCCACCCGGGCTGCCCTTAGATTTATTTTAGATCCTGGCCACCTCCAGTGCCAGGATCTTACTCAAATGTAATTCTTTTTTTTTTTTTTTAAGATTTATTTATTTATTCATGAGAGACACAGAGAGAGAGGCAGACAGAGGCAGAGGAAAAAGCAGGCTCCATGCAGGGAGCCCAGTACGGAACTCGATCCCAGATCCTGGGATCATGACCTGAGCCAAAGGCAGATGTTCAACCGCTGAGCCGCCCTGGTGTCCCAATAAATACATTTTTAAAAAGAAATGAATGCGGCTGCTGTGAGCATCGTTCTGCGCCCATTTCTGGGGCCGAGTTAGTTTTGTCCAGGTCCATGTCCCCAGCTGCACGCTTGCCGGGCCAGACAGTAACTGGTGTGTGATCGCGTGGACACCTGCCAGGCTGCTCTCCGCGGTGGCGGCACCACTCTTCAGCCCTGCCAGCAAGGTCAGAGGGCTTCCGGTCTCCGCCTCCTCATCGGGACTTGTCCTTTGACTTGTCTCCGTCTTCTTCATCGTAGCCAGCCCGGCGGTGTGAACAGGATGTGTTAAAAAACGAAACTCAGCCAAGTAAATCTGCACATCTAATTGGTTTTGTTCAATGATTCATGAATCGGGCGGTGGCGTCCCATCTGGCAAGTGGAGGGGAGCACCAGTGAGCTGAGTGAGAGGGTTTTGAAAATTTATTTTAGAGAATGAGAGAGAGGGCAACGGGGGGCGGGGGGCGGGGTCCAGAGAGGGAGAGAGAATCCCAAGCAGACTCCTCGCCGAGCACAGAGCCCGATGCGATGCGGGGCTCAGTCTCACGACCCTGAGCTCATGACCTGAGCGGAAACCAAGAGTCAGATGCTCAACCGACTGCGCCCCCCCAGGCGCCCCTGAAGGAAAGGTTCTTAAAGGCGGAGAGAGAGCATTAAAAAGACAAAGAAAGGAACCGAGTAGCAAGGGATGCCTGGCTTGGGCAAGGTCGCCCCTCTGAGGGGAGCAGGAGAGTCTATGGGTCAGTTTCCCAGGATTGACCCGGAAAGTCCATGTTGTCGGGTTAAGGGGTTCCCCTCCAGGGGTGACACTGCAGTTAGGTTCAGCAGTAGGTCTTGGTTTACTCACTCGGGGCCTTCGCACAAGTGACACCATTTGGGGCCTGTTTCCTTTCCACAGAGCTCGTTGTGGCTCAGTCAGAAACAACTGTAGGGATCCCCGGTGGCGCAGCGGTTTAGCGCTGCCTTCAGGCCAGGGCGTGACCCTGGAGACCGGGGATCAAGTCCCAGTCGGGCTCCCTGCATGGAGCCTGCGTTTCCCTCTGCCTGTGGCTCTGCCTCTCTCTGTATCTCTCATGAATAAATAAATAAACTCTTTAAAAAAGAAAAAGAAACAACCGTAGGTTGCGGCCGGCAGCCTCCTTCCCGGGTGAGCAGGTCTCCCAGAGCAGGGCTGGCCGACCGTCCCCGTGGAGGGCCAGGCAAATAACTGAGGCTGGGCACCTGCTGTGCGCCTGTAGTGTGGAAGCAGCCCGACACCCCCTGTAAGGACGGGGACCCGCGAAGATCCCATGAAACCTGCGCCTTGTGGATGAACGCTGAAAATGGACTTTCTTCTAATTCTCACAAGTCATGAAGTGTCACCCTCCTTTCTTCCCCCGACCATTCTCGGCTCCGAGGGCAAAAGCGTGCAGCAGGCTGGGCTTGGCTCACGGGGCCTGGTGGGTTGGCCCCTCCTCTGGGTCTGCGTTTCTCAGATTTGCTGTGGATAATATCCCGCTGGGGCCTCACTAATAAAGCTGTGCTGGGCTCACCCCCAGAGACCCACTCACCTGGCCCGGCCCGGGCCTTGAGAGAGAATCCGCACATCAGACGAGCCCCCAGGCTGCTGGTGCTGCCAGTCTGAGCGGCCCCGCTGGGGAGGAAGGGTGATGAGCCCGAGGTCAGAGCAGCGTTCCTAGGGGTTATGGCTGGCCGCAGGGTGCTGGGGGGTCCCTAGGACAACCCCCGGGTTTAGCAGTTTGCCGGGGGACCCCCCAGGACTCAGCACAGAGCGAAGTCCACCCAGGGCAAGGGCCATGGGGGGAAGTCAGGCACCAGGCCTGCGCTCCCAAGCCACACGACCACGTTCTCATGGGTGGGACGGGGGTGGCCACCTTAGCCTGTGTGGCCAGGGGTCCTCTGCACGGCAGCAGCGTCCCCTAGGAGTCCTTTTGGCTCCTCACGTGCCCGTGTGCCTGGTCACACTTGGCCCTTGCTCAGATCTTGACCCGGGAGCGACTCTGGTCGCAGCTCGGTCTTGGGGGGCTGCAGGGCAGGATGTGACGAGCCCCGCCTGCCGGGGTGCCCGGGTAACGGTGGCTGAGCCGCTGGACCGGGATGGGGAAACATGCGCAGCACAGGCTGCAGAGCAAGTGGCCGTGACATGGGGGGCGGGCCGGGCACCCCCACACGCCCCCTGGATTCAGGGAGAAGGCACGCAGCCACGTGGTGTCATGTGTGTCAGTGTGATAGGTTCCACAGCCGTCCACAGGCAGCCTGGAGAGCTGACTGTCCCTGCGGCCCTGGATTGACTCCACACGGAGCGGGCCGTGGAGGGGGACCCTGGGGTCAACAGTGAGCACCCGGCGGTGTAAGAGCCAGGGGTGCATGCAGGGGGCCGTGAGGCTGGTGCTGTCGGGGACCCTCCGAAGGCGTTGCATCGCCCACGGGGAAAGGACTATCCCCTGGCATCACTGAGGGCGAGTGAGCAACTGTCTGGGCCGCAGAAGGCCAACGGGTAAGGCCGTGCCCTGCCCACGTGCCCTGGGTGTCCCGGCCCTGAGCGTTCCCCTCTCCCCACAGGCTACGCTCACTGGAAGGGTCAGGTGCTGAACTCGGATGAACTCCACGAGCTCTATGAGGGCCTCAAGCTGAACAACGTGAATAAATATGACTACGTGCTCACGGGTAAGAGTCCAGGGATGCTGGGTGCTGGTGCCGGGGGCCTCGCACTAGCGGGGCGTGGGCTCGTCCCTGGTCCCGGCGTCCTTCAACGAGGGATGGCCCCTGCCGCCGAGTAGCATGACCTTGGGGGTCCTGGATGCATGGTGCTCACTCAGATGGGCCGTGCTGTGTCACCATAGTTCTGGAGGCGTGTTGGGGGGACACGGGTGTTGGGAAGGGGCTGGGGGTGAAGACACCCAAGTGAGGCGACGTACTGCACCTGGTGCATTTAATCATTAGGTTTGTGGTAAAAATATCTATTTGTGGGGCCCCCGGGTGGCTCAGCAGTGGAGCGCCTGCCTTCAGCTCAGGGCGTGACCCCGGGGTCCTGGGATCGAGTCCCACGTCGGGCTCCCTGCATGGATCCTGCTTCTCCCTCTGCCTGGGTCTCTGCCTCTCTTTCTGTGTATCTCATGAGTAAATAAATAAAATCTTTAAAAAAATACGTTTACTTAGAGTTACATACACAGGAGTGAATACGCTTGCTATTGACAATGGAAAAGACAGAAGGAGGACACTTCCCCATACACTGTCACCCGTGGCCTTGTCCCTTCTTTTAAAACTTGACGTTCCTCTTGGGAAATGCCCAGTGTCCCCGCAGTGACTACAGAGGGTGGGGACGCTTTGTCTTAACCCCGGCTGCGGGATTGGAGAGCTGCCCGCCGCGCTCTGGTGCGTGGGGTTTTGATGGTGCGCTTCCCCCGGGCCGTGGGCCGCTGATGCGAGCCTTCTGGCTTCTGGGGGGCCCGGATTTCCGTCCCAAAGGTTACACGAGAGACAAGTCCTTCCTGGCCTCCGTGGTCGACATCGTGCGGGAGCTGAAGCAGCAGAACAGCAAGCTCGTGTATGGTAGGTGCTGGGCCGTCACCCCTGGGGTGGGTGGACCTGGGGCCCTCGAGTGGGTGGCTCGGCGCTCCCCCCTCACAGTCCACCTCTCCCGGCCCTGAAGCGTCTAGTGTGCTGGGTGCGCAGGGGCGTGTGCCCTCAGGGCTCTGGGAAGGGCTCGGGACGTCTTCACGGCCGCCCTGGCGTCTGCGTGGGGCACTTGAGAGAAGCGGGTCGGGTACGTTCAGTAATCCGCGTCCGCGTGTGAGGCCTGGGGCGGCCAGGCCCTGCGGTTGGGGCGTGTGGGCCACCGTTGGCCCTAGAGAGGGCGGCGGCAGGTCTGGATGTCCCGAGTGGGGCCCAGCTGTCCCGGGCGAGGCCGAGGCCCCACTGAGGTGCGTGCCAGGCCCGTCTGTCCCTAATCCCAGGCAGCAACCCCAGCCCCTAGGGTGTCCCCAGCCAGAGGCCTGTGCAGGTAAACGACACGGGAGACTCGGGTTACTCTTTCCCCTCTGGGACTCAGGCGTGTGCATTCCGGGCCCTGCGGGGTCCTTCCACGTGTGTGACGCTTCCTCCGCCCAGGGGGAGCTCCAGCGGCCTGACATGGGGGCCCCGCCGTCGGGAGCGGGAGCCGGGCTTGCAACCCACGCAGGACCAGTGCGGTCTTGTCGCTTCGGCCCTGCAGGCTGGGCCTTCCCAGCCGTCCACGCCGGCCCCCGCCCTCGGTCCCCACCCTCAGTGGGAGCACCCGCACGGCCGGTGGCTTTGCCCACACTGCGGCCTGCGGCCCGAGGGGAACGTGCTTGTGTGGGGCAGACGACACTGAGGCCACAGCAGGTCCTGCCGCCAGGACGAGCGCACGGGCTGCTGGTCTGTGTCACTGTCCTGGGACAGGTGCAACCGATGGTCAGATAGAAATCAGAGCCCTCGGTCGTCTAGGACGACAGCCGCCGGGCAGCGGGGGCGGAGGCGGGAGGCCGGGCTTTCCCGGGCGGTTCGCAGCCGGAGGGCGCGGCGTGTGCTGGTAGCTGTGCTTTGTGTCTCCGCAGTGTGCGACCCGGTGATGGGCGACAAGTGGAATGGCGAAGGCTCCATGGTTAGTGACTCCACGCAGGACGCTGCGCACGCCGCGTGTCAGCCGTGCCGGGGAGCAGGGCTTGGCCGGCGGGGCTTCCGTGAAGGGCCAGACCCCCACCCCCCGGGGACCCCACGTCCCGCTGCATCAAAGAGCGGTGCTGGGGCGCGGCCGGCTCAGGCCCTGGAGCAGCGGGCGGCTCTTGACCTTGGGGTCATGCGCTCCAGCCCCACGTTGGGCGCAGAGATTACTTAAAAAAAAAAATCTTTCAGAAAAAAAGTAGCCACACTCCGCAAACGAACAGACGTGGCTGTTGCTTAATAGAATTTCACGTGCGGACACTGAAATAGGAGTTTTCTGTGGTTTCTGGGTGTCCCACAGCGCCGCGGCTGCTGTTGGGTTGGCTCTGCCCCAAGCACGTGAGGGCAGGCGGCCGGAGCGTCGCGACCCTGGCGGGGCAGACAGCGGGGTGCCAGCCCGTGGGGAAGGCGGAAACCCGCCCCCGAGGGTCACCCTGCGCCCTCTGAGCCGGACTGGGGCGCTGGCAGGGTCAGCCCCGGTCTCGGGCCCGCGGCCTGGGCCACATGGCTCCCGTGGCCTCCCGCGTGCGCCTCAGCCCGCGCCCCTTGTCGCCCTCAGTACGTTCCGGAGGACCTCCTTCCCGTCTACAAGGAGAAGGTCGTGCCCGTGGCGGACATCATAACCCCCAACCAGTTTGAGGCTGAGTAAGTGACTTGAACTCAGTTGGGCTTTTAGATGCCTGCCGGTCAGGTGGGGCCGTGGGGTTCCTTCTCGGGAGGCCCCGCCTCAGGTGGGGGCAGGAACTCGGCACCGGGGGCCCTGGGCCCCGTCCTGTGATCGTGCATCTTCTTGGACGGCGAGAGCTGGGGGACACGCAGGGGGCACGCTGAGGCAGGGGCGGGGGGCACAGGCCCTGGGTGGAGCTCCCGACACCACGTCCCAAATCCTTGCATGAGGTTAAAGGGAGCCAGTCGGGCCCTCGCGGACGCGGGTTTCGGAAGGCCTTTCTGGGGGCGGGGGCCCCGTCTGATGAAGAACCGGTGCCGGGGCGGGGCAGTGGCACTGAGCGTCCAGGCGGGTCGTCTACGCCCTGGGGTGTGGACCTGGAGCTCCCTGACCCGGCCCGTCCGTCCTGGGGGACCCCGAGCCCTCGGGGAGCGATGTTAACCGTTTGCAGTCTGTGTTTCCAGTGTCTGTGGACGTCGGTCACTCTCACTGGCCACGATGCGGGGCCCCGTGCTCCTTGCCGTCGTCACGTTTTACTCTCCACTGGTCTTTACGCATGTCACGGTGGCCACTGGGTCTGTGATGGCCACAGACGCAGGGTTCCTGCAGGGATGGGAGGAGGTCACCGGTGCCACTGTGGCTTTGGGGGCATTTCCAGTAGGACGCAGAGAAGCAAGGCCTCACCTGTGCTCGCTTGTCTTCCAGGTTACTGAGTGGCAGGAAGATCCACAGTGAAGAAGAAGCGTTAGTGGTAAGACCCCCCCCGAGGCCTGGCATGGGACACGTGGTCCCGCGCACGGCAGGGAGGGGACAGCCACACGCCCCGGGGGTGGGAGCTCCCGCGTCCTGGCTCCCAGCCGCCAGGGCCTGAGGACGTGTCGTGAGCCCCTGTGGGCACCACATTGGGCGCCTGCAGCCCTCGTGCTTGTCTGGGTGCAGGTTCACCTGCTGCCTGGTCAGGGGAGCTGGGGGGCGTCCCTGGGCGGCCGTGGCAGTGCCACAGAGCAAGGGGCCAGGGACAGCACTGATTCCCTGGTCCTGGGGCCAGGAGCCCAAGATCAGGGTGTTGGGGGGACCGTTCTCCTTCTATACCTGTAGGGAGGAACCCGTCCCTCACTGTCTCCCGGCCTCTGGGGTCCTGGGTTTGTAGACCCATCACCAGGCTCGGTCTCTGCCTGCCAGGGGCATGCCCTGTGCCTCTGTGTCCTCGTCTCTTACTAAGGACGCCAGGCAGATGGGATCCAAGCCCCGGCCGGTGACCTTGTCTTAACTTGCTTGCATGTGCACGTATGTGGGGTGTTGTGCGTGTCAGGGCGCACGTGTGCAGGTGTCTGCGTGCGTGCATGAGGGGCTGACTACAGCAAGTTGGTGTGCACCTTTGGGGGCCGGCTGGGTGCACCCGGGACCCTCAGGGACGGCTGACGGGGGCGACCGGTGCACCCAGGACCCTCGGGGTGGGGGGACCGGTGCACCCGGGACTCTCAGGGACGGCTGACGGGGGAACTGGCTGGCACCGAGGCAGGCGAGGTTTCTTCTTTGAGGTTCTTTTCACCTTTCTGCCGAGGAGCTTGTTGCTGGTTGGTCGTTTAGCCTTCTATGGGGTTCTGGGCCGTGTGTCCAAGCGGCAGACACCAGGTCCCTTGCTCCGTCCGTGGCTGGGCCTCAGAGGGGTGCCCTCTCTTCATCGCCCAGGAAACAGATCCGAGTAGCAGGTCCCGTCACGGCCATAGCAGGCCCGAGGGGCTGTGGAACCTCTGTTTCCCCAGCGTGCAGAGGGCTCGCTGTGCAAGGTTACAGAGGCGTCCTCCCCTCCGCTCGGAGCTGGCCCAGCGCCCTGGGGCCTGCGAGTCAGGTGACCCTCCCCACCCCGTGATGCACCCACGGGCTCTGAGAATTAGGGGAAGGTCCTGCGTGGTGCCCGGCACAGGGTGGCGCTGGGTGGGTGGCACGCCCCACGTGTGTGACCACCCGCAGCCCGTGCTGGGCTCCGGAGCAGACGTGCCTGCCAGCGTGATCACAAGCCCTGGTCTGAGGCCTTTGCTCAAGGACAGGCCCTCTTCCAACAGTGAAGGAAAAGCCACTTAGAGAGCGGTCACTGCCGTGTGACCCTCTGGCCCGTTTCCTCCCCGGCTCGTAGGCCCTGGGCTGAGCCTAGTGGCGCAGCCACACGGGGTGACTCGGGGGAGCCTTCTGGGCCAGGAGACGTGGCTTGGGATCACGCTGGCCCCAGGACCAGAAAGCCGGATGCATGCACCCACTTCAGGGTCAGCATGGGAGCCCTTCCCGGGGCCCAGAGTGACCCCCAGCAGGGCGGGTGACCTGAGTGGCTTCCCGGGTGCTGCCCCCACGGAGGACCGTGAAGCCACCTCCTCCTGGAGACGAGCCCCCTTCCCTGAGCCGAGCACGCCCATCTGGCTGAGCACCCCGTTTACCCAGGCATGTGTTCTGGGAGGGCAGGACGCCTGCACCCCCCCACCCCCACCCCAGCGTGTCACCGGGCACACAGCAGGAGAGCTTCGCTGAATGAATAAATGGGCACATGAGTGGCTTCCCTGAGCGGCTGCCCCGGGGGAGCCACGGCTTGATGGGCTGAGTGGTTTTGCTGCCCTGGAGCCGGATGAGCCGGGTTGGGCCGTCCAGGGCCTCTTGCCCCCCACCCCGCCCCGCAGTGTGAGTACAGCAGGGTGCAGGGTCCGCAGGTGCATGGCTTCGGGCTTCAGGCACAGGGACTCGGCCTGGTGGCTCTAACCTGACGAGCGGCACTCAGCACGCACGGACTGGGTGCTTGTGTCCTCCACCTCCGGTCTCCACCCCACGAAGCCCAACCCCCGTTACAGGGCGTTCGTGGTGCAAGTGCCGGTCGTGCCTGGCTGCTTGGGGTGCCGGGGGCCCTGGCACAGGTGGCCAAGCTGTGGCTGACGTGCTCCCCGTGCTCCGGCAGGTGATGGACGTGCTGCACGCCATGGGCCCCGACACGGTGGTCATCACCAGCTCCGACCTGCCCTCCTCGAGGGGCAGTGACTACCTGATCGCACTGGGGAGCCAGAGAACTCGTGAGTGGGCCTGGGCTCCCCCTGCCTCTGCTGCCCGTCCCTTCAGGCCTCGGGCTTTGGGTTCAATACGAAAAAGAAGAAATCCCTGCCCCACTCGGGTGGTCAGCATCCTGAACGCTTGTCTCCCCTGAACGATCACATGGGAACAGAATCCAGAGGTTCCTGTGAGTCGGGGTGCAGAGGAGCTCCCCACGCTCGCCGAGCCACTCTCACGGCCAGCGTCCATCTCACGGGCTCAGGGGCACATGGACAGCCTGGCTGAGCCCAGGACCCGAGAAACCACACACACCCCCTCCCACGGAGCAGGAGGGCCCGTGGGGCCTCGTGCGCCCCTTGTTAATCGTGTAAATACCGCCCAGGTTGGCGTTTTCAGTCCGAACGACACACGGGGCCGGGGGCAGACCCACTGCCGCAGGGGGCACGCAGCCTGGTCAGCACTCCCTCTGTGTCCGTGGAGAGCTCGCCCCGCACCCCCACACACACACCCCCGTTTCATCAGTTCACGGTCCCCACGGCCGGGGACGCCATCCGCGTCCCGTCACACGCCCTGGTGTGTGCCACTGCGCCGTGCTCCCCGCCCCTGGCCACCCCGCTAGGGCTTGCATCCCCATTCTTCCTGAGGACGGCGCATCTGTCCCGCGAGCCCCTGGTGGGCAACACTGGCCCTCCCCGCCATCCCCGGGCAGGGAGGAGTGGGGAGGGGGACGAGCCCGGGTCTCAGGGGCCGTCGGCCGTGCTGTTCTCCAGGGAACCCCGATGGCTCTGTGGTGACGGAACGCATCCGCATGGAGATGCACAAGGTGGACGCGGTCTTCGTGGGCACCGGGGACCTCTTCGCCGCCATGCTCCTGGCGTGGACGCACAAACACCCCAACAACCTCAAGGTCAGCAGGACGAGCCCCCTCCACCCCTGCCCCCATCGGGGACGCTCTGGGGGCCGCAGAGGCTTAGACAGGAAGACTGCGCGTGCTGTGCTGGGGTCGGCCGTGTCGAGGCCCACCGTGACCACTGTGTCGAGGCCCATGGTGTGCAGCACGTCCAGACTAGGTCGGGGGTGTTAGCCGAGCCCCGGGAGGGGCCTCCGTGAGTCTGTAGCCGGGAGCATCTCCCTGGAGAGCAGCCCAGTAGACGTTGGCCCTAAAGTGTCATCGCCCCAGTGACTCGATAGACTCAGAGGCTGGAGCCCCGGGGGCGTGAGGGACAGGGCTCCGAAGTCACACTTGCAGAGAGGCTCATGCTGGGCGCTGTCCGTGTGTCCATCTGCCCCCCTCCCCCTGCCCCTTTGTGTGTAAATGTCCACACATGTACCGTGTAGACGTTTTACGTGGACACTGCCGGGTGAGGGGGCAGTTGCTACCGATCCGGGGTATCGGGGTTCCCTGTGTGCCTCTGGTGGAGCAGGCGTCCCCTGGCCGCCTCCTGTACCGCCAGGCTGTCCCGTCCGCTGGCCCTCTGGGTACCGTGGTGGGGAGGAGGCCGGCGGCCCCGGGCAGGCGTGAGGGGCGGTTAGGAGACAGCAGCCAGCCTCCACCTGGGCTGTGTCCGTCAGGGAAGGAGGACCTCGCAGGGGGGCTCTGGAAGCCGGTCCCCCTAAAGCCACCGTGAGGGCCCCGTCCCCCCGGGGGGCAGGCACATGCCCTCCCTGTCACTCAGTGCCCTTGTGAAAGGCAGGCTTGCCCAGGCCCGGCCCCTCCTGCCTGCGAGGCTCAGGGTCGGGCCGCGGGTGACCACACACCTGCTGCCTTGGTTGGCGGCCCCGGGCGTGTCATCTGGTGCCCTGCAGGGGGCCTGCTGCTGGGCCGCTCAAGGCCACGTCGGGCTCCCGCAGGGCCCTGCGTCACGGAGCTGGGCGGGAGGGGTTCCGCGCGCTGCCCCAGCTCCTGCTGAGCCCCGAGTCTTTGACTGTGAGACGCCAGCAAGGGTGACCTTGGCCGACTTCGGGGTAGGAGCTCTTTTCCGTGTAGATGCTTCATTCCAGAAACACTTCCTAAGCACCGACTCCTTACCAGACACCACGGGCCGGCCCTTCCTTCCCCAGACTACGGGGGCCAGAGGGGGCCCGTTAACTGCCGTACGCAGGCATCGGCCCGACGCCCCGGGACCTTTGTGGCGAGCTGTCCCGGGGGGGGGGGCACGTGCTGGTAGAGCCAGGGCCCTGGCGCCTCAGGGTGGACACTGCGCTCGCAGACGCCGGAAACCCCATCCAGGCTGCGGGCGTCACAGCCGTGTGTATCCCCCCGCAGGTGGCCTGTGAGAAGACCGTGTCTGCTATGCATCACGTTCTGCAGCGGACCATCAAGTGTGCCAAAGGTACCTGCCACCAGGCCCAGGCACGCGAGGTGGCTGGCACTGAGTGCGGGGAGGGGGCGGGGGAGATGGCGCCTGCCCCCCTGTAGTGCTGGCAGCGGGTCCCCGAGGCTCCCGCCGCCTCCTCTGGCCCTGGTGTCGGGGCGGGGACTCCAGAGGTGACACGGGCGACCGGGGCCGGGGGGTGGACACTCGGGGTCTCCGCTGCTCCGTCCCCGTCACTGATGCTTTGTCCTGCAGCCCAGGCAGCAGGAGGGCTGAAGCCCAGCCCGGCGCAGCTGGAGCTCAGGATAGTCCAGAGCAAAAAGGACATCGAGAACCCGGAGATCGTGGTCCAGGCCACGGTGCTGTGAGGCCCGGGCGCCGCCCCCACCGCCCGGCGTGTGCTGTCGCCCTCGTCGTCCTGTGAACACGTAGCGTCTGCCTTAGAGCTGTGAATGAAACTTGGTCTTTTTTGCTTTCATGAGTGTCCAGCAGCCACTGGTCTTAGTTGTGAAAACGTGCTGGTCGTGCTTCCCAAAAGTAACAAAACAATCACAGAAATCTGTAACTCGGGGGCCGCGGCTCCCCGGCAGCTCTCCTGGCTCGGGGCGTCCGGTCCCAAGCGGGCTAGGGCTGGGAAGCCCGGGGTCTGCGTCCCCCAGGAACCGTTGAGGTTTAACCACTTGCGTCTGGAAGAATTTTGCCAAATCTTTGTGTTGTCGCTCTGACCCGACCCTCTGCTCCTGCTTCAGACGTCCTGTTAGTCACTGCGCTATTGGGTAGGTTGCCGGGGATCGTTTCACCACGGGGACAGGTCCGTACCAGCTGGCCGGCGCCGTGGGCACTGTGCGGTCATGCTGGGGGGCACCTTTCCGGGACCCCGAAAATGCAGGCCGGTCTGCAGGCCTCACCCCCCTCAGTGGGACCTTCCCGTAAGTCATGAGTGTCCGTGCTGGCGTGACGGAGACGAGGGCAGGTCCCGTGGGTCGAGGACAGCTTGTGGGAGGATTGGCACGTTGTGTTTCCCTTTGGAAAACTCCCCCGGGTCGCGGCACGGCGGGTCCCGTTAGCGCAGTTTGCCCCCCGTTGGGACCTAATGCACGTGTGGCGGTGCCGAGACGGGTCCAGAGGGCAGCGGGGCTGCGGCCCCAGCATTGGCATCTTTACCCGCCCGGGCCGGTGACCTTGTGCCCTCGCCCCTCCCTGCCAGTCCTGCATTCTGTGCATAGCCGGGAAGCCGGAGGCCCCTAGAGCCAGCCCCGCTGCGCCCACTCCTCAGAGGGGGTGTTGGGCATCAGGGAGGGGCCGGGCCAGCGGAGCAGCCCCCGCGTGCCTCTGGTGGAGACCCCAGCCCAGGCCTCGGCACTAGGCCGCTTGTCCACTGCGGGGGGGACCTCTCTGGCCCCACAGTGTCCAGAATTTTGAGGACCCCCCGGGCGTGGCTGCAAGCGGGGAGGGGTGCCCATCCTGAAGACAGCCTGCCTCGGTCTTAGTACCCGGCCCCGGCCCCAGCCCCACTCCGGGGGGCGCAGAGGTTTGCCTCTCCCAGGAGCCCGCAGCCTGCAGGGGGCCTGGGGACCAGATGGTGGCTCCTGGGAGAGCAGATCCCCCAGCTGCGGCAGTTCCCGTGGCCTCCTCAGTGGGGTGTTCTTCACGCTGGTGAAGACCCCAAAGCAAGCAAACGCTGGCCCCAGACGCTCCCACGTGCTCTTTCCCCCATTTCCACATCCTGTGTCTTAGTGCTCCTGCCTCCGTGTCCCTGCGGGCTCGGTGGTCGGCGGCTCCTGCAGTGGCCACGGGTTGGTGTCGTGTCCTGGTTCTGGGGCCCGGCCTCCACTTAGCCCCGGGGGACAGAGCCCGGCCACCGGTCCCTGCAGGGCCGCCCCCTCCCCGGACCAGGAGGACAGGGGACCCGTGGCCGGCAGCCTCCCCGGCAGGGTGGGCGCAGGGACCAAAGTCAGCCTGGGCCTGGAAGCACCTGTCACTGCCAAGCAGAGCTGGGGAGCGGCCGCGCCGCCAGCCGGCAAACGGCTTCCCCCCTCTTTTTTAATACCGAGAGCACGCGTGGGACTGCGAGGGAAGCTCCGTGCGTGTCTGCGGCGAGGTGGTGGGAACGCCCCCCGGCAGCTTCGGTGTCCGGCGTGGGGCCCGCTGTGCGTGTCCGGCGGCCTCGGGGGAACGCGCACAAACAGTTTGACTCTGTTCCCCACCTTTTATTTCCAGGGCTCAGCCTTTGTGGCCCTGCCCCCGTCCTTTACTTCCCTGTACCGTGCGCAGGATGGAAGTGCTCCACGCTTCCTGGCACATCGCGAACGTCCTGGTGGGACCTGGGACCGTTTCCTCTGTCTCCTCCGACTCCGAGGCCCCAAGCACTGGGACAGGTGGCGTCCCGAGCTCTCTGCACCCGCGGCGGGAGCCGGGCGACCTGAGAGCGTCTGCAGAGCGCAGGGCTCCTGCGGGAACAGCGTGCGCGTCCCCGGGAGACCGTCCCACCCGTCCTGGCGCGACCCCCACCGCCCCCCAGCCCCCATGCCCCTGGAGGCCCCGGCTTGTCTGTGCTTAGAATTTCCCATCCCCGAGTCCACTGTGGTCATTAGCTGTGGTTTTTTTATACAGGTTGGGTCCAAATTAGAATTGATCTTTGTTTCTACTCTCCGTAGTCTAGTAACGTGCAAAGTAATAATTATATATATTTTAAGACGAGAGATGTATTATTGGTCCTAAATCGCCTGCTTGTGACCAGAGTACAGATTTCAATAGTTTTTTCGAAGCTTCCGTAGACCTCAGAAGATGAATTACAAGATACCCTTTTTTTAAAACCATTTTCAGATCATTGCCAAGTCCCGCTAAGGTAATCGTGTCGACCTGCGTTATTTTTGTAATATATGTCAGCGATGGTAAAAATGATGCTGTGTCGTCTTGTTCTTACACGTGTCGCAACCAGTTTTTAAACCGGGAGTGGTTTGGCGTCCCTGCCCCGATGAGTAAGCGGGGGGTACGTCTCGGGTTCGGCCCGAGGCCCTGCCTGCCCCGTGACACCCGTGAGTCCCCACTGCAGGTGCAGGGTCCCTTCCCAGCTGCGCCATCCAGGAGTCGTGCTGGGGGTGGAGGGCAGGGTGACTCCTTGCTTCTGGGGCGGAGGCGGGGGGCGGGGGCCAGGCCAGGGCCCTGGCATTACTGGGTGTCCCCAGGCCGCTCCCGACTCTGCCCTCCTTGCTTGACCTCACGTTCACCCTCAGTTGAAATGGACAGTAAAGGAGGTGACCGTTTTCTGGCTGCTGGTCCCGCCCCCTCCTTCCCCTCCTGCCCTTTGGTGGGACCCCCTGCCTGGGGCTTCGGGTCGTATCTGCCTGAACCAGAGGCACCCTGGGAGCACTCCGTGTCCCGGCACCAGAAGAGCTGGGGTCCCTGTCTTCTCTGCGCCCACCTGGTGGCTTGGGCATCCCTCTCACGTCTCCCTGCACGACAGTCTCATCAGGAGACCCACCCCAGCACCTGCCTGAGACAGAAGTTGGGGAGGGACGCCCAAGTGGGCAGAGGGGATCACCAGGACACTCTGAGTGTGGCCCTCGCCGACCGTGTCTTGGGGGGAGGCATGTGGCCCCCAGACTGCTGAGCCCACCCGAGTTCCCTCCACTCCACCTCCCGCCGCTGGGCTGTGGGGGCCTCCCTTCCCACCCCGTCACCCCACGCAGCTCTTGGCTCGGACGATTCCTGTGGAGCCGGGTCCTGTGTGCTCACGGAGGGGGCGCGTCAGGTGTATGTGCCGGGTGGGCACTCGGAAGGCCCCCCCATCCCTGGGCGGGCAGCTGTGGGATGCCAGGTCCGCTGCCCCAAGCCAGGAAGCCTCACACTCGAGCCCGGTGGGTCTGGAGGGATGACACTCCGCCCCCCCAGGAGGACGTCCTACTTCATTGCTGCCCCAAGGGCGCTGGTCAGGCTGGACCCTCGCAGCACAGAGACCAAGCACCTGCCCACGTGTGGCCACAGAGCTGATGTGTGCTCGTGTGTGGGTGTGTGCACGCGGTGGTGGGAGGGGCTTCGCAGGTGAGAAGGGTCCTGCCCCCCCTGCGGGTTTGGGGCCCCGCTGTGGTGGCCCAGTCCAGCCGTGCACTCGCAGTCTCGGAGCTTGCACACATCACACGGGGCGCTCCCGTGGTGCGGGGGCCTTGGGGCTGTGCTGGCCTCAGGGCTGGCCCCGGGCTGGCCCGGATTCAAATCCCGGCCTTCTAGTGCGCACGTCGCCCCATGCTTCGCAGGATCCTCTCGGTGCAAACCGTTTTCTGTTCTGTTGTGTGAAGATGCCGATTAAAACAGTGTCTTGGAAAAAAAAAATAATAAAAAAATAAAACAGTGTCTTGGGCAGCCCCGGTGGCTCAGCGGTTTAGCGCCGCCTGCAGCCCGGGGCGTGATCCTAGAGACCCGGGGTCGAGTCCCCCGTTGGGCTCCCTGCATGGAGCCTGCTTCTCCCTCTGCCTGTGTCTCTGCCTCTTTCTCCCTCTCTCTCTCTTTCTCTCTCTCTCTCTCTCTCTGTGTGTGTGTGTGTGTGTGTGTCTCTATGAATAAATAAATCTTTTTAAAAAAATAAATGAAAGTGTCTCACGGACCGACTTCCCACTTGTCCCAAGAGGTTGTGCTCGCAGATCCCCCGTGTCTTCCTTTGCTTAAGACAAGAATTTTTGAGTGACTCTAATTCTGACTTGGAGAATATCTTCAAACTTTCTATTAACGGAAGTTCTTCCCGGAATTTTCATTTTAAATCCTGGCGGGGGAAATGGGTGGTAAAAGCCTGGCTGCTGAGGGAGCCCCACAGAGCCCTGCGCCTGAGCAGGAGACTGTGAGCCCGGCCGCAGCTGCGCCCTGGGAGGGGGTGCAGCCTCCCCCCGCCCCGGCCCCGCAGCTCCTCACCCGCGAGCCCATTCTGGTGGGAACGGCCTTCCTGAGGCCACGGGCCACGCACCTGGCCTGGGTGTCACTCACCAACCCACACCGTCCTGTGAGGCCCGAGAGCAAGGGTCCCGGCCCTCTGCCCTCTGCAGAGCAGAGCCGGGCAGTCTGGGGAGGGAGCTGGGGTGCCCCCAGCGTCCCCCGCTGTGCTGGGCTGAGGAGCGAGTCCCTGGCTTCAGAGCTCACCCAGGCCCCAGCTCGTGGCACAGGGGTGGGCAGAAAAGGAGAGTTGACGGGCTTGGCAGCGCCTTCAGCACATCCCATAGAACAGAGGGAAGTAAAACGCACAGGGAGACTTGATGCCCTTACTGCACCCCGCAAAATATCCGGGAGCCCTGTCTTGACAGGCAGCGTAGATGGTACTATTTTGGGAGCTGGTGGCACATCTTCATGTGCCACCCGGAGCCAAGGATGAGGCTTGTGTGTTGACAGGTGTCTTGAATGCTTTGGACTTTACAGCTGCGTATGCTCTCTGATTTAAAATTTTATTTTATTTATTTATTTTTTAAAGATTTATTTATTTGTTTATGAT